ATTATTATCATCATCATTGTCATCATCATCATCATCATCGTCATCATCATCATCATCATTATTATCATCATCATCATCATTGTCATCATCATCATCATCATCATTGCCATCGTCATTATTATCATCATCATTGTCATCATCATCATCATCATTGTCATCATCATTATTATCATCATCATTGTCATCATCATCATCATCGTCATCGTCATTATTATCATCATCATTGTAATCATCATCATCATCATCGTCATTATTATTTTCATCATCGGCATCATCATCATCATCATCATCACCATCATCATTATTAGAGATTGCTGTCTTGTAATCTGATCAAAAAATCCTGTTTTTGTAGGAATGCTGTGATTGATGCTCTACTAGTCTTAACCCAGCTTGATGATGAAGTACTCCAGACAAAAGTGAGTCTGAAATCCTTTCCTTTTGTTTTGTATGATATTTTATAATCAAATAAATGCAATTGACTGTGAGTTGGTTTCATTGTTTCAGTCTTCGCCATTAGATGGTTCCTCTCCTTTCATTACAATGTGCAACAAGCAACTGCATGAATACACTGATATGAAATCAAAACATGAGAAACAGTTAAGGTATTGCATATGATTGATGACTGATGTATTGAATGAATGGACAGTGGGAGTTACAGACGGACGGATGGGTGTATTGATTGATTGAATGTTGGGTTTAGTGATTGATTTAATTGACTAATTGACAGACTGATTGATTGGTCGATTGATTGATTGATTATCTGATTAATTGATTGATTGATTGAATGTTGATTGATTGATTGATTTGCTGTCTGATTGCTTGATTGGTTTATTGATAATTGATTGATCGATCGATTGATTGATTGATTGATTGATGATTGATTGATTGATTGTCTGATTGATTGATTGATTGATTGGATGTTTTTAGTGTCATTGATAACAACACAAACGATTCATCAAAAGTAACCACAAGATTGGAATTAAAGGTAAGTAAAATCCCTTCAATCTCTACCAAATTTCAGACTTACAATTTTTGATATGCTGTGTTTCCCTGCAAATCATTAGATACTGTATTTTTAAAAATGCCACATTGAGAAACTCAGGAGGGAGCTGTGTTGAGGATATTTATGCTCACTGTTCTTTATTTCGTTCCTTCAACTAGAGCCAACAATTTAATGAACTTCTTGAACAAGCTGTTGCACACTTGATTCAGCACGAAGCTTTTGACAGCCAAAAGCAAACTAAGAATCCTTCACAAGTTGTGCTGGATGCAAGTGCTGTGAATGATGATCAAATGTCAACAGTTGAGGGAATTTCTTCTAAAACAAAAACGAAAACTGTGAAAGATGATATATGTAAAGAAACAAGAAAGATGACTGATGAAAGGTAGATGCACTTTGAGCATGATTATGGTTTATACATCCATACTTTCATCCATGCATCCCATTCATTCATTCATCCATTTTTCATTATTTTACTTCCATTCATTCAAAATTTAAATTACTTACCTTTTTTTGTCTTTGATTTTAAGAATACAAACGGATGCAGCTATTAAGATCCAATCCGTTTGGAGAGGATGGCATATAAGACATCTCATCGATGTACAGACCAAAAAGGTACAACAGGAAGGTTYGCATAAAATGACAACGAAAACAGTAAAAAGAGTGAAATAGAAACCATATATTTTCATACAATGAATAATGCCAGCACTACTCCCAGCTATTCCGCAGGCGTCTTTTCCTCTATGAGAAAAAAATGGGCTTCCTGTGTTAGGTCAGTTAGAGAGTGGACTTGTAAGGTTTAAGGTTTCTTTGTCCTCCCTAGTCCCCTCTCTTCCTTGTATTTTTACACAGGGAACCCGGAAAAGTGGAGAAAGAGAAATACCTGTAGAGGACAGTATGCTCTCTCTCGTTTCTTCTTTTATCGATGAGTTTCACAGCAATGGACTGATTTTGTTTTTATTCATCTTTTTATAGTGGTTAGCAGCTGTAACTATTCAGGCTGCATGGAGAGGTCACTTTTGTCGGTCAAGATTCAAACGCAGTCGGCAAGTCTCTCGAGCGCGCAAAGCATTATGGAATGCCCGTCATGTTGCCGCTGCTACAACAATACAGGTAAGCTTGATAGAGCTCTYACGTAGTTCAATAGACCCCTTTACGTCATGTACCTTATACGTAATGCATTGTAGGATATGTTTGGGATAAAACATGGCGGATTACTTTTGTTTTCTCTAAAAACCTATCCCACAATGCATTGCAAATCAAGTAGTGACGTAAAAGGATCAGAAGTTTATTAGGTAGTTTTAAGCAGCTTGCTGTATTAAATAATAAACTTGCTATTCATGACAGGCATATTACCGTGGATACCGCATTCGGCGGATCCTTGCAGTTGCTCTACAGAATGTCAAGAGTGACAGCGATGACGATGACTTTAACTATGATGAGGAGGTTGACTTGTCTGCCTTTGATTTTGATACTGGAGTGCTTGACGATGGCTGGACGCCTAGTGACACTCCACAACTACCGTCAAGGTATGTAATGATTTACCCTTCATAGCTGAACCTCATGGGTTCCCTGTGGAGCTTGCCCTCACATTTTGTTCCAATTTATTTCAGAGGACCAGTACTTCCTGGCCAATCAGCGGTGAGTTGCCATGGTTCCCACAATAATGAGTTACTAACTATCAATTTATGCCGCCAACTTGAGACGTGCTGTTGCCTTTGGATCAAAGCAAGACTTGTAGAGATAGATACTTATGAAAACATTTTCAAAGCGTGAAAAAATCGTTCAGTTAAGTTCAACAATGCGGTCTTGTTTCGTTGCAAAGGCATAGCTAACTTTCAGTAGTGCTCTGGGGATTGTATTGTCATCTCAATGAAGATGACATTCGTTGTAATAATGTTTATAACATGTTTTTATAGATACAAAGCCAACCTCGACGGCAGGCATGGAGGTCAGCTGACTCACCCTTTGATCAAGACCCACCACAAGCCAGCCATTCTCGTGTTCCTGGTATTAATGTCAATCGAAGTCCTGAGCAGGATTTGATGTCAGTCACCTCTGGCGCGCAAAGTCACATGACACACCAAGCTGAGGAGATGGGCAATGAATGGTATGGTCCCTATGACGTCATGAGATGTTAGTCGAAATGCACCATGGGATTGATCTAAGTACAAAAGGCAGCCATGTTGTAGTGTCGGGATGTTTTGCAAAATTTAAGCTTCTTTTTTGACAGAAGGGTCTCAGTATACTTACATGTGCTGCCATCTTTTTAATGTCTGTTGTAAAGCTTTCTCAACGACAAACGAATAAATGATATTTTCACAAAAAAATCTTCGTTCTTCTCGTTTTTGGAAGGCAGCCGCCACCTTGATTCCCGTTTACAATACCATGATGCACTTCGCCAAAAAGCGAACATGACGTCATCATTGGAAAGAAACATCGTCAAGGTTATGGAATCAAAGAGACTCTCGTCTAAAAACATTCTTCTTGTTGATTTGTAGGGGTGTTAAGAATGTTAGTACCGCTGAGCTGATGTGGAAACGCGCCAACAGAATGAAGTACAATCCTGCAAGGAAACGAAAACTGCTTGGTAATAAATTCTCCTTACTTTCACTCATAGTCCTTGTTAAATCAAAAAGCTATTTTATCATTAAACAATATTTATGTTGCTTACCGCAGACCCAACAAAACGACTTGCTTTGTTCAAGAAGCTTGACGAAGCCAATAAACTGAAAGAAGTGAGGCCGCCTCCTAAACGACGTCCACGAGTGGATTACTTTACAGGTATTGGTTAATGATCGTCATCATCATCATCATCATCATTATCATCATCATTATCATCACTATCATCATTATTGACATCGTTGTCGTCATAATCAAAGAATATAAAGTAATCTTTATTGTATTGATTTGCAGCACGTGAAGCGTTATTGAAATCAGGCAACACTACACCAACATCAGAACGAGAAGCAAAGGCTCAAATGACGTACAGGTACTTTTACGTATGGTTACGTTACATTAACGCAGTGGTTACGTAACATTAACCGCGTAGAGTTTGCGTGTCATTGACGTTATGTCACATWATCGTTGGTTTTCTACGTATACATTGATCTTGCAGTTATTTAATTTCGACGTTATTATGTTACGTAATTGACGTTATGGTTACGTTACATTAACGTAATAGTCACGTCCGAAAAGATGAACAGATAACGATCAAAACGCAACCAAAATATCAGTGAATTTTCTCTTCGTTTTTGTGTAAAATGTGTCGTTTTATCAATGATTCAGCTGGGTTCATAGCCAAGGTGTAGTCCACCAAGATGAGGAAACGAATTACATGGGATTTACGCAAGACTTCAGTACGCAAACCAAGCCTAAAATACGCTCATCATCGCTGACTTCAAAAGGCTCAGTCAGTCTACCTCAGCTTGACCCAGTTCAACTCACGGGCCGAAATATTCATCTTGTGGTGAGTTTTGTTTACTCCTTTAGCAGACAAGTACCTAGACATTTCCGCTGGCCTTTTGCTAGCGTTTACGTCGGACTTTTCTAGCGTTTCAGTCGGACTTACGCTAAGAAAGTTTTCTTTGCATGGTAGCGTTCTTTCTTGTTACTAAAACTTGTCATTAATTTTATTCTGCAGTCGAGTCCAGCTCTAATTCGTGAACAAATAATGTCAAAAGAAACAACGCCACGACGAAATTCTTCTGTGTCTGAAGGTAAAACATCGCGCCCATCTCGAAAACATTTTGTATTAGACATTGCTATTAGTAAAATAAAGAATCGAAAGGAAAGGAAGAAGAACGGAATGTTATCATTTGTTGATCTGCTTCTTCACCGCTTCCTCCGTTCGCTGGTTTAACACTGACTTCCCTTCCACTTCACTAACAATTTCTATAACTTGTTTATTGGTCGTTGTACGTAAATTCTAAACGTATATTATCCCGTGGTATTCTCTGTCCCTAGATGTACATTTTCCTCCAATTAAAACTTACTCGGTGCCCAACCTTGCAGCCAGGTCAGTCGCATCAGGATCAACTAGCCGTTCCAATGAAAAGAGCAACAGCGCAGGCGCAAGAATGACCAATGAGAGAAGAGAACGAAGATGACATCACCACTTCAAATATCCAATAAGACAAGAAAATGACGTCTACAGAAACCAATGAGGAAAGAGAAGGAAATGACATCACAATCTGAACAACAAATGAGAGTAGAGAGCAATGTCTATACTGACCAATGAGGAAAGAGCACTGAAAGAGAACGAAGATGACATCATGACCACAATATCCAATRAGTGAAGATATTGAAAATAATAGCGCGTCTGCATTAGCCAATGACAGAAAAGAATAAAAATGACATCACGACCACGATGACCAATGGGAATGAATGTCTAGTTTGAGGTGTATTATTGGAAATCAATGTCTGTCAAACGTTTGCAACTAGAAAACAACTTCATATTCCAACAGATAATAAAATACTTCAAACAATATTTCAATATTTCTAATTTTGARCCTCGTTTAAGTACAGGTTTTATGAAAACGATTTRTACAGATATGATTTATAAACATATTAAAATTCAGTGAAAATCAATGTTTTCATATTAGGTGGTTTGTTTGAAAATTTTGCTAGAAACATTTTCCACTATCTTTGAAAAGAAATTAAAGTGACTACCTCAGTAAAAAGATTGAAATCTTGTCAAAATTGGTGTCTTTATTCAGCAGTTTATATTGAAGAAAGCTCATTTTCGTGTCTCCTTCGTTCCAAACACTTGAGCTTTTTACTTTGCATACCGAAGGGTTTATTTGTTTCATTCTTGATCGCTTCACCTACTAGAAAAGCTATACAGAGGCTTAATTGTCTGAACAGATTTAACCATCACTTAGGGACTAGTTATGCTCAATGCGCTCGCGCCCAAAAAACACCCTTTTTGGCGGGAAATTATGCCCATGCGGTAGAATATTAAATCGTAGAAAAAAAAAACACAATTTAAGACATTCTATACTACACATAAGCAAAACAACGTTTAGGAAATGTTTTACACTATAAATCWATGATTATTCCYTCAMGTTTTTAAKCTTTCTAAGCAARACGTCATTCAAACATTACAAGTAAGTTTCTTTGAGCGCGCGCGTTTTTCGTAATGYATTATCATAATCTTGTGCGCGATACACCTGGCGCGATACTTKACATGCAAAACAATATTGTTACGGTTGGAAGCGCGAGAGGTTTTTGAAAATATAAGCTGATTAATCAGTACAGAACTGAGTTCCACTGGAGAACCGTTGTTGGCCGAAAACGCACAGAAAAAAAAGAACATTATAAAAGGCGTTTTCATGTAAAAAAAGGAAACAAATTTATTCAAGATCAGGCTAATAATGAGAACTATTCGACCAGAACTCAAGCTGTCTGTATTGATAATTATTGCAATAATTATCTACATCAATATATAAGACTATACCATCACAAAATACTCAAGTATTTTCATTGGATATTCTTCAATCCCTCATCGTCATGAAAGGAATAAAATATCTTTTATTCGAGCATTTTTTTGTAGTGTATTTCTTTCAAGCATCGTTCCAGGCACTTGAAATTAGGGACTGAGTATTTGAGAACTGAACTGGATCGAGGGAGTGGGGCAAGGGGGTGCATCTTGCTCGCTCGTTGAACTCACCGAAATGAAAAGAACTATACAGGGAAATAGACCAAAAGAACTCCTACTTGTGATAAGTTACAATAATATATCAATTACAGATATTTGACAAATTAACGATGATACTAAAGACAAGTAGTTGTTTGGAAAAACATGAAATAATAAAATTTAAGGAAACGAAACGTATAAGTAGCTGATTTAATTCACTACGTTTCGGGGTCATCGTGACTCCATTACCAAGTGATACAAAATGAATGATAATAGGAATGTAATGTAATGAAAAACAATTGTTTAAAATTGTTTTATTTTTTTATTTTTCCTTAAATTTTATTGATACTAAAGACATTTCATAAATGTAAACGAAGCCCCCACCCCCCCTCCCTTCACTTTTCCCTAATGGTTAACTAGAGTTATCACGAAGAAGGGTGTATTTGTGTTATACATGATCGCATCACTGACCAGAATATAGATATAAGCTTGTGCGAATAGATTCTTTCATCACTTTTCAAGTCTACTCTCAACAAGTTAAGACCTCGAAGAAATCTCAACTATCACAAGTAAGTCTCGTTTTGTGGTTTCTATATCAAAGTAATATGCGTTAGAGTAAGTTAGAATGTACTCATTTCTTTCAATGATAGGTATCTTTGAGAATAAACGCGTATAAGTTACGTTTTTGTAAAAAGTAAGGCTAAAGCAAACGTGTTCCATGCAGCTATCTCGTCTCTTTGCATTCCCCCTTGGCTTTTGCTGCGATTAAAAAATTATCGCGGTAAAAAACGAATTCTTAATGATTATTCAGTATCATTTATGTTGAACTAATTGTGATTCCCAAATCATTCATTATAAAGCTGAGAAAGATTACTGACGCAAAAATTGGCGGGAAAACACGATTAAATATGCTGGCAAGCGTCCATCAAACTGTATTATTTAGAAAAAAAATTCCTTTTCAGGTCGAAAATGAACCGTTATCTGCTGGTGTTTTTGGTTGTAGCGTGTTTGTTTGCCGTCAGTTGCAGTGGACAGCGTCCCTTTAAAAGCGACGACCGTCAACGCTATAGTAAGTCTACATGTTGATATAGATGCTCTGCTTAGCAGCCGCTGGCTTCTAAGATTTTAATAATCAAGCTTTCGGATTATATTAGAGAACCAGTCGTGCATCTTCACTGGTGGAAATTAATAGAAAAAAACCTTGMATCTGGCAGATTTTTTTGTGCATGAAATGCATGTAGTGGTCTTGAAATAAAAAACGGTTTGAATTCAATAAGCATCATTTGCGTTGTACGTCTATCTTGGAATGGAGCAGTGAAAATGTTAGTTTTTATTTTTGCGCAAGATTTCCATCAAAAACCCTGGCTGCATCCCTACCGAATGCTGGTTTATTTTCATTTTTCTGTTTGGTTTTAGTTGAAAGACGTCTTGCTGCTCTCTTGAAAAGAGGCGGCTGTGAATGTAGTAACGGGCAGCAAGGATACTGGTCGTTGGGCTGCGCTAATGGGCAGAACGATTGCAAATCATCCCCAGACAATCCAAGAGTCAAATGTTGTTACTGGCCATAAGAAAAATAAAATAAAATGCAATCCACGAGTTAAATTGCATTAAAATTCACGAGTTAAATAGTATCACAATCTACGAGTTAAATGGTACCACAATCCACGAGTTGTTAAATGCTAACATAATGAATTATACACAAAAAAAATGACATATAATAAATAAGTGGTATATACATTCGAATTGTTGAGTTCCTTTTTAATGTCTATAATTGGGAATGTGAAAAACGATCATAAATTGAGTTATATTTCACTTCCACTTTATATCAATAGAATAAGAAATTTTCCAAAGGGATGGTGACACGAACGTCAAGACCCCCTTCCCCCCCCCCCCCTTTCCCCCCCACCCTCTTTGTATCATTTCCAGCTTTTTGAGACCGTAATTCCTTTTTCGCGGGAAGGAACAGATAACAGGCAGCATATTGCAATGCTGAATGCGCGCGCGCGCCCAACAAACACCCTTTTTGGCGGGAAATTGTGCCTAAGTGGAAGAATATTAAATCGTAGAATAGACACAATTTCCCACATTCTATACGACACATAACTTTTAGGAAGTGTTTTATACTATAAATCAATGATTATTCCTTCACGTTTTTAATCTTTCTAAGCAAAACGTTCAAACATTCAAACATTACAAGTAAGTTTCTTTGAGCGCACGCATGTTTTTCGTAATGTATTATAATCTTTTGCGCGATATATTACATGCAAAACAATCTTGTTACGGTCTA